ATGACAGACGGGAGGCTTTGGATAAACATTCCCATCTCCAGTCCTCTGGGTGGTGGGGACCACTTGGAGGGGGGCACTGGAATGCTTCTCACAAAGTCCAGGTGGAATCCACCCCTTGCCCATGGCATCCCCCTCAGTGACATGCCTTATCTTGGTTTCTCCTCCTTCCCTGTCCCTCTCTCCCTAGTCCTTACCCTGCTCCTGGGACCACCTCCAAAATAAAGTCTCAGACCCATCCCCAAGCCTAATCTCAGACTCTGTTCTCACAGATACAGCAGCAGGTTTCAGGAGCTGCTCTAACAAAGTAAGGCTGGATGGCTCAAATAACAGGAATTTACTCTGTCACAGTTTGGAGGCTGGAAGTCTGAGATCAAGGTGTTGGCAGGGCTGGTTCTTTCTGAGGCTGAGGGAAGGATGTGTTCCAGACCTCTCTCTTCGGTTGGTAGATGGCCACCTTCTCCCCATGTCTATTCTTATCACCTCCCCTCTGTGTCTCGGGCCCAAATTTCCCACCAGTCAGATTGGATTAGGGTCCAGGCTAATGATATCATTTACATTTGATTATCTCTGTAAAGACTCAATCTCCAAACAGTGTCATACTCTGAAGCCCTGGAGGTTGGGACTTCAACCTGTGGATTCAGGGAGGTGAGAGGGGTGAAGCTGGTTCTGGAAACACAATTCTACCCGTAACAGAAACTGAAGCTGAGAGGGTCGTGGACACGGGTTTCAGAAACAGACCTGTAGGGTGGGACGTGGACACGGGTGCCCCACAGTCAGACCTCTGTGATAATCCCTGACTGTGCTCTGCACTGGGACAGGCAGCAGAGATGAAGCACTGGATACAAGACGGTAGCCCTGAATGTGGAGTTGGCTCAGGGTGAAAGCTCGAACAGAGAATCGGCAGACCCAGGTCAGCCCGCTCTCAACTTGGGCTTTCTAGGTTTTTTCTATTTTTAATATTTTATTTATTTGGCTGCATCTTAGGTGCAGCCCATGGGCTCTTTGTTGCCAAACCTGGACTTCTCTAGCTGTGGTTCTCAGGCTCAGTAGTTGCCCTGCAGCATATGGGATCTTAGTTCCAAGATGAGGTATCGAACCCTCATCCCCAGCACTGGAAGGTAGATTCTTCACCACTGGATCACCAGGTAAGTCCCTCTTCTAGATGTTGTTTTGGAAAGTATAGTTATTTTTCATAGATGTATGTGCGTGGTGTGTGTGCCAAGTCCCTTCAGTCGTGTCTGACTCTGCAACCCTGTGGACTGTAGTCCACCAGGCTCCTCTGTCCATGGGATTCTCCAGGCAAGAATACTGGAGTGGGTTGCCATTTCTTTCTCCAGGAGTTCTTCCCAACCTAGGGACTGAACCCACATCTCTTATGTCTCCTGCATTTGCCACTAGCACCACCTGGGAAGCTCCTCATGTATGTAAATGAATCATAGGTTTTGCATTTTATTTATGACAGTGTTTAAAGGGCCCCTGACGTCCTGCAGCCATGGGACATATCCTGCAGACCGTGGGGCCCAATATTTAGTCGTAAGAGAGGCAGAGCTGCAAAGGAGACTGAAGAAACAGCTTCACGGGCCTCTTAGCTAAGCTGGGGGCCAATGGGAAGGAAGCAGAACCTGAAGCCCTGGGATGAAAACATTAGGGATAAAGGATCTACGAACCTTGCCCACCAGAATCCCCTGACCCCTCTGGCTGGCATCATTAGCCTATGGACCACCTGGTGCCCATTTGAGGGCCCCACCTGAGGCAGATACCCCTCAAGATCACTCTTTTCCTTCTCAATTCACCTTCATTTCCCCTCCTCATCCCAGCATTGACCAGAGACAGCTCACTCCTTCACAGGAGGAAATGCCTTACCCTCCTGAAGAACTGCAAGGCCCACTGACACACTCAAGCAGGAGTGCTGAGACCACGTGTGGGACTGCATGGAGGGTTTGAGACTTAGAGGAGGAAATTAACCAGACAGGGAGAATGTATGGATATGAGAGCACCTCCAGATCTCAAGATTAACAAGCTTACACGGATGCCTGGCGTGGGCCCAGTGTATTGCCAAGATGGATCTGGGGTGGGGATGGATCTGAGAGGCCTGCAGGGCTCACCCCAGGGCTGCAGCTCTTCCCTAGACGTGGCTGTGACGCCATCGCAAGCAATGAAAGGTGTCCAACAGCTTTTTTTCTAAAATCATCTTTAATGTAGTTTTAATAATTTTTTTGCCTCATTTACCAGATAAATCATCTAAATAAATAGATGCTATACAGTCTCTTACCAACATCAGTAGAAAAATAAAACCATGCTCTGCATCTGCTCCAGCTCTCCCCGCACACACTCACTCGGAAAAGGCATGTGCTTGGAATCGACTCGCGCCCCCCAACCCCTCCCAAATACATTCATTTAGTCTGAACAAAGCTCGACGCTCATTCTGTGCAAAGGAAGCGTTCTTGTGCTGAGCCCTGGAAGCCCGGCGGGCCAGTTATAAAGCAAAGGCAAAAACCACCGGACCAGCAAAGCGCCCTCTTCCGGGGCAGGAGCCAAGGAGGAAGCTGGCGACGGGACCACCATCCTGAGAGCAGAGGTGGTCCTCGAGTGGCCTGCGGCATCAGCAGGGGGGTGGCTGTGCCAGGGGCAGAGAACATGCCCTTTGCCCCACCCCACAGCAAAACAAAAGTACCAACCAGTCTCTACATTCAAAACAGGTGGGGCTGGGGGAAGGAAAGGCAGGTGGTCCAACTGTTTCAACGCCCCCTCCCCAAGTGAGTACTGGCCTTCTGGGGTGGCTGTGGGGTGGGGAGGGAGGTCGTGCCGTTTGTCCCCTCACCCCAAGCCCTGCTGGGATGCTCAGGGCTGGAGGAGGCCTGAAGGCCACTTCCAACCCCTCGCAAAGGTCTCTGTCCTGTGTCCTGGATGGGTAGGTCCTAAGGGCTTTGGCTCCCAGGGTTGAGCCCTCCAGACAGCAGGGCACCCTGTGTGCCATGAAGGGTTGAGAATCAAGCAGTGTTCCACCGCAGCAGTCACCTCATCCCACAAAAGAGCCCCCTACCCCAAACCAGCACATGACACAAACAGCTCTTCAAAGTGAGGCCTGAGGTGGCCACCTGTCCCCGGGGATGGGGTGAGTGTGACTTTTATTGGAAGCTGCCAGCCAAGTCCAAAGCTAGGGCCAGCATCTTTCTGTCACAGCAAGGCCCCTGCCACCACCCTCCCCTCTGCCAGGAGTCCCTGACCTGGGACAGCCACCCAATCTGACTGCCCATCCCCTCCCCAGGGGTCCAGGCAGGAGGGTTCCCCACAGCCCCTTGGTTCCCCAGTCCACCCCCACATACTCCTCTAGACACAAACCCCTAGGCTGGGGGTGAATCAAGTCATGGGGTGGGGGTGGTGCCATCCCCCAATGGAAGCACTGAATTGACCCTGGACAATGAAGGACTGAAAAAGAAGGGGGGACCCACACGCAGGGATCTGGGATCTGGCCAGCAAGGCACCCCAAAGAAAAATGGGGTGCAGGGTGTCTTTGGTTTGGGAACTTGGGAAGAAGGGGTCTGGGGAAGAACTGCCCTATTGGGAAAGCCTCAGCAGGATTCTGCCTACTTCCTGAGGACAAAGCAGAGCATAGAGCTGGCCCTGGGGTGGGGGGGTGGGGGGGTCGGGACCCAGTGCCTGGCCTGAGATGGGGACAGGGGAGGGAGCCAGTCTTGAGCTTGCTCCCCTGGTGCCCACCCCCAACCTGGCTTCTCCCCTACAGGGCCAGGGTAGGGAAGAGGTCACTCCTCACTACAGGGAGAAGCCACTAGTCCACAGGACGTGTCTGTGCAAACTAGAAACAGAGTGCCCCTTCTTCTGGCAGACACAGGCCCTGCCAGGGCAGGGACAGGGGGCGGGGCTTGGACACAGCCTGACCCACCCTCCGCTACAGCCCGATCACAGGAAGACATGGCAGAGGTCCCCCCACGGGGAAACAAGGTTAGTCCCAGCTGCAGCATTGAGGGTGGATGCGAGGAGACCCAGAACAGGAGGAGGAAGGGTGTCAGGGGTCAAGGGCTGCCCTGAGAAGGTGGTGGGACGCTCCCTCCCTCCCTGACCACCCACACCCACGTCTGGTTGGCTGACTTGGAGGGGGGGTGCAGAAAAAGAGGGGAGGGGAAGGGCTGGAAAGTCACCTGAGTCAAAGAGAACAGGGGCCCCGGCGGGGAAGGGGTGTGCAGGAGAGGAATGGAACCCAACTGCCTCAGAGCTTGCGCTGATGCAGGGCACACATGCACACACTTGCACACCTGTGGCTGCGCTGGTGGAGGGCATACACACACACACACACACTTGTACACCCGTGACTGCGCTGGTGCAGGTCACACATGCACACATCTGCACACCTGTGACTGGCCAGGTGAAACCACAAAACGGCATCCCACACCTGGAGCACTCAAGGCCATCTGGCCGCCCCCCGACCGACCCTGCCCGCCACTGACAGCGCAAGCACGCTGATTGGACAGATTCTGTCAGGTGAAGCGCAGGGAGCGGGGGTGAGTGGGGTTACCTATGGCAAGCTCTTTTGTGCTGTGATTCACCACCCATTCACCTGGTCAGGGTTTCTAAACGAAGTTTGCAAGACCCGCTGCACATGGCTACGGACACGTGCGTGCAGTCACGAGGGCACGAGGGCCAGTGCACACACCTGCGAGGCCGGGTGCGCACGTGGGCAGTTTTCACAGGCCAGGTCGGGGGGGTGGGGTGGGGAGTAGCTCTCAGCAGAAGGGGCTTATTAGCTGGCAACCACCCCACCCGGGGGAGAGACCTCTCTGGGTTGTGGCCAGCAATCTCCAACCCTTCCGGGCGGCCCCTCAGCTCTCAGACCCCGTCGCTTTTACTCAAAGCCAGCCTCCATCTCCCCCGAAGAGCGGGAGTGGAAAGTTAAAAAGAAAGACCCCTCCCCAAACACACACACAGAAGGGAAAAGGGGTAACCAACCAGAAAGGCGGGGGCAGGATGCTCGGGGGGAGGGCTCAGGTCTTCCCGTCCTCCTTTAGTCCCGGGACCAGTTGCTGTCTCTCCGGAGAAGAAGCAGGCCAGAGGGGTTCGGGGGAGGCTGGCCCTGTCCCCGTCCTGCCCTGGAGACGGCGCCCCAAGTGACAGAGCAGTGCCAGGCCTCCCCAGGCCCCGCCCTGCCCCAGCTCTGAAAATGTCACCCAACACCATAACGTTGAGTTTCCAGCCAGGTCAGAGCCTAGTTCGAGGCTGGCCACAAGGGGAGAGGTTACATTTATCTTCCCTGGCTGGACACGCACTCCTTCCCAGTGGGACCACGCAAATAACTCTGGGCTAGGTGCCAGGGTGCCCCGCAGGCTGAGGGGACCCTCTCTGGGCCCTGACAACTCGAGGGGCCTTGCCAGCTCTGAGGGTCCCTGGGTCTGAGCCGGGGGCCGGGCTGCCTTACCCTCCTCTTCGGGGGGCTGCTCGGCAGGCTCCCACTCGCTGGCCGCCTGCAGGACGTCCTGGGCCGGTGACTCCTGCAGGAAGAGCTCCCGTCGATGGCTGTGACTCTCCAGGTTGGGCCCGCGGGGCGGGAACTTCTTGCGTGAGAGCCGCAGGTACTTGTGGGCCTTGCGGGGCTTGCGGAGCGGGAAGGGCAGGGTGGGCACCAAGGGGCCCTTGTCCGCCAGCTCGGGCGCCCCCGCCTTGACCACCCCCTCGGGGCTCCCGCTGCCGAGTGGGCGCGTCAGGGAGAAGCAGAGCTTCTCCTCGCCCTTGGCCTTGTGGGAGCTCCGCAGGTCCATGCCGTACAGCCGCTGCGGGGGCAAGCCAGGGCACGGCGGGTCAGCCCCGCCCTCCCGCCCGCTGCTGCGCCTTGGCGCACGCCGTCCCTCCCGCCCGGGGTCCCTTCCCAAGGTTCGGGGCTCAGAACCAGCCCGCACCCCACCCGGCACCCCAGCCCCCGGGCCGGGCCCAGCTCGGCCTTCATCTTGGCCCCCGAGGCACAGCCTCATCTCAAGGGCCAGGGCTGCAGGTCGCGTTCCTTCAATCCACGGCAGAGGAGCAGACAAGAAGTACAGATGGAAAGGTGACCAACAGAAAACACACCTGGATTTCTGCGGCTGATAAATTAAGGAGCTATTCATCATAGGAAAGGAATCTTTGCTTCTAACAGGCCCCCAAAGCTGAAACGGTCAGCTGCCAGGGAGACGGTGGGAGGCACAGGGCTCTGAAGTTTCTTGGAGAAAGTTAACACAGCATTGGGGTGCACCGTGTCACCCAGCTATAGGGACGAAGTGCTGCTGGCAGGCCGCAGACGCCCCTAGATTCCCCCAGGGCCCTCCTCGGCTCTGAGCTGCAGGGAGGGGTCCTGTCTGGGTCCAGACTCCAGTCGATGTCCTGCCTCATTCATGTTAAAAGGGGCTGGATGGCACGTGCTTCCATCATTCAAAGGCTGAAGTTTTAAAATTCGTGCACTTGTCTTACTGACTCCTAGGGGAAATTCATACAAATCCAAGAAAGGTCCCCGGGGCTACGATGTTGAGGGCCTGGGCCATTCTGGGGCAGGAGCTCCTCTGCTGTCACCGGAGGCCAAGAGTCCCCAGAAGAGAGTGAGGCCCACAGATGGGACCTGCACGTCAAACATCTCAATGGGGACAGAGCATCACAGGTGCAAGCTCCATGCTCCAGTCCCACCTGCTAATCCCCATCACTTGGCATGGGCCTGGGTTGTCATGATGATGGGAAGAGGGCTGAACTGGGAGGAGACTGTGAAGTTACTGCAATGCCTCAGCACTGCAGGGCTCATCCCATATGCAGCTTTATCAGAAACCACTCCTTCAACCTGACTCACAGGCTGAATAAACTCTCGTAGAGTTCTGTTCTTCTGTACCTCACCATGAGAGAATTACAGTTACTAATGGGTCTGGGAGCACCAAGAGTCAGATCTGGCTTTTAGTCTAGCTGTGTGACTTGGTACTGGTCTCCCAGAGCCTCAGTTTCTTCTATCAAAGAAAAAAAATAAAAAAAAAAAAAAAAAAAAAAAAAATGAAGAAACCATAGCAGCCAGCTCCAAGATGGTTCCAAATATCTGCCACTGGGAATTCACACCTGTGTCGAGTCCCCTCTATACTGAATACTGCAGTGTGGGACTTCCGAGGCTAAGTCACTAAGGACACGGTGCTTTGTCCTTGCTCTTCCTGTTCACCCACCCTGGGGGAGGCTAGTGGCCCTACTATGAGGCCAGCCAGCAGCCCTATGGAAAGGCCCAGCACTGAGGAACCAGGCCTCCTGTCAACATCCAGCACTGATGCACCAGGCACATGGGTAGCCACGTTAGGAGCAGATCCTCCAGCCCCAGTCGAGCCTTCAGATGAGTGGATTTCCAGCTGACATCATGACTGTAATCAGAGCCAGAATCACTGAGGAACCAGCTAAGGTACTCCCTGATTCCTGACTGAGACCATGTGGTGGAACTGTTTACTGCCTTAAGTTGCTCAGTTAAGGGTTAATTTGTTACACAGCAATAGATGACTGAGAACACCTTCCCTGTGGGTTTGGTGTGCAGATAAACTGTTCGTTCATGAAGAGCACGGAGCACAGAGCTCAGTCTGACGTGCTATCTTTCTCAGGACCCAATTAACACCAAACCCCAGGGATCACACCCACTGTAGGAAGGGAGACCCATCTAATCTGGCAAAAGCCTCATGTGATCTACAATTTAGAGTGGACAGGAGGCTAGACATGGCTCACACTGCACATGAACCAAGAAGCCTTATGTTTTGGCTTTAAAGTCCCAGGTGGGCCTAATTAAGGACAGCTGGTATTGTTATCATCCGCAATTTGTAGAAAAGAAAACTTGCGCTCAGAGACGTGCCTTGAATCACAGAACTACATCACTCTAGCCTACATCCTCTTTTCAGTGCTAACCAGCAAAGGGTAGCAGAGTGCCCTTAAGACCTCAAGCAGAGGGTTTCTTCTCACTCAAAATGACACGTTTCTAGGACATTCCAAGGCTATGATTCCAATATTCCATGAATCTCCTTTTCTTAGATTCTAACATTCCAGACTCCCCTTGTTTCCTCAACTCTCAAGTTTATGCTCCTAATGTTCTCAAATACTACAACTTTGTATTTTGGGGACTGAGCATCAAAGAGGCTTATTTACGAGATTCTAAGCTTTCAATATTCTAGGATCCCATGAGCCATACATCCACCCTCCCTCCCTCCACCGGATCTCCCACCCATGCTGTCTTCCCCTGGGCACCATCCCGAATTCTGACTTTTCCCAACTCCTCCCACTGAAACTTACCCACTAAGTGCCCCACCCACCCCACCCTCCACAGTGCCCTGGATGGAGCCAGAGGAGGGTTAGTGGTTTAGCAGGACCAGCCGGTGCAAAGGCACAGATGGTAGGGGCGGGGGTGGGGGAGCAAGGGGCCCTAAGGGATGGCACCAGAGCTGGCCGGGTTACCTGCAGCAGAAGCCGTTTGGGTTTCGGACCTCTCTTCCTATACCCCGACGCTCGGTCTCTCTCCTCCCTGGGGTGCAAAGCAGATGGCAGAAGAAAAGGAGATACTGGTGACATTTAAGGGTAAGTAAGGCGTCCACTCCACCTGGCCCTCTGCCGTCTACGGGGGAGGGGGGCACCCACCACAGGCTACCGCCCGTCCTGGGGTCGGGCTCCTCCCGTTGCTTGCTTTAGGCCATGACAATGGGGTGGAGTGTTCAACTCCCAGGGCTCCCTCTTCTCAGCTGACTAAAGGTGAGGGCACAGCCACTGGTCCCAACCACTGAGGTGGGACTCAGGGGGCATCTCCAAAAACATGTGGTCTGCATGGCCCCAAGGTCAGGCCAGACCTCTGCTCTCCATGCAACTGGGAACAACCCCCAGAACAATTTCCAGTTTCCACTCTTAGGAGACGTGTAGAAAAACCTCTCAATCAAATTTGTCTTGAACGGGCCCAGGGGAGCTGAGGAGAATGGCGGACGAGTCCTTCTGCACATGAGGCTCTGCCCAGAACTCCCCGCCAATTTGGGATCTGCACGAACCTGGTGGGGAAGACAGGCTCCTATTGCCTGTATCGTCTGGCTGGGGAAGGGGAGAAAACTAGCTTGCAATCAGTCCCCAGCAGATGCCAGACTCTCTGCCGGATGCCCTCCTCACTTCACACACATGCAAGGCACAACCTGAGGACGCATACAAAGACACACACCACGCAACCACGCCAGATACCCCAACCATGTGCTGGAAGTGGTGGGACGGTTCAAAGTCACTGCACTTGACTTCATTCCACTCACGCTTTCTGAGGCCTTAGGCCAGTCTCTCAGTCTGAGCCCAGTTAAGCCAGTGGGTCCATGGCTCCTGTTTTCCTCCTCCAGGGAGTGGCTGCCACCCGCTTCCAGGCATCAGACTCCAGGGGCGCTGGGGGTGGAGCTGTCCCTCCCACCCTGTGGAGCTGGCTTCAGCAGGTCTGCTCTGGGGTCCCAGAACCAGTGTTTTGAGAGAAGCACCAAGGGCATGCGATACCCAATCAGGCCTCCCCTATCCTGGAGAGTGAGAATCTAATCTCAGAGCCTGGTGCTGGGAGCCCAGGTCACCCCTACCTGACCCAGGGGACACCCTGGCTGGCCACTCTCCCATTCTGGGCCTCAGTTTCCTGGTCTGCAGCACGAGCTTCCCTTCTCAGCTGAGCCCTAGGGCTCTTGGGGGGAGCAAGAGGTCCCTGACATTTCTCAAAGTGGCGAGGGCGGGGAGTAGAAAGACTAAGATTATAGAGAGGAAGAGAGGGAAGAAAAAAAGGAAGAGGAGGAGGAAATAGAGAGGGGGGAAAAGGGAAAGGGCCTTGAGAGAAAAGAAGGTATCTATTATACCCGTGTAAGTGTTGTTCATTATATTTCCTACCATGTCCTGGGCACGCTGTACAAGGCGCTGTTCTCAATGCTGTAACCCTCACCCTATGGGGAGGCACAGTTTCTATCCTCATTTTACAGCTGAGGCACACAGAGGTTTAGTCACTTAACCAGTGCCAAAATTCTGACAATTTTCACTACTGGTGAAGATGCTGAGCTCCGGGTGCCAAGCCTGGCGAGGTCAAGCCTGGGGGCCCAGTTAGGGCCAGTGGGGGCAGGCCTGCAGCCTAGGCCACATGACCTGGCTCCCCACCTGTAGTGCCCAAGTTTCCGCCCTGTAACTGTGGGGGTGGGGGGAGCAGGAGGGCAAGGTGGGGGCTTCCACTCCGTCCAATCCTGACCTACCCAGGGACCAGTCTCTGTCAACCCTGGAACCCTCAGCCCCTCAGTGTCCAGGGCTGTGGGGATCGTGGCCCCAGCCAGGCCTCAGTGTCCCCTCGGCCCCTCCCAGGATGCAGGGACTCCCTGACCAGAGTCCCTTAAAAACACTGCAAAGCAGGTGTTAGAACCGTCATCACCCCTCTTCTACGTCCTTCTCACCAAGACCCAGAGAGGAGGAAGAAGTCAAACCACACAGTGGGTCTGCAGGTCCCAGACAGTGGGTCTCATTTGTCCCTTAACTACTGACTTTTCAGACTCAAAGGAACATCCAAACCCTCTCTAACAGGACTCAGAGGTAGAGTCTGAGCTGCATTCCACTCCTTCAGCTGCCCGTGCCCACTCCGCAATGCCCCACCCCTGCCCAGCTCACACCAGTCCAGACAGCCAGGCTCAGAGCCCCAATCGCCTCCATGCCGCTCCTCAGCCCAGGGTCTCTGCATCAGTGCGCTCTCTCCCTGGATGGTCTTCTGTAACATGCCCACTGGGCTCCTTCCCTCCCTCACTCAGCTGAAGTCTCTGGTCAAACGCCAGCACCCAACCACCAGTCTGAAAGCAGCGCCCCCGCCCCGCCCCTGTCCGAATAGCAGCCACACGTTTGCATCTATATTATCACTGGCCTACTTTTCACTGCGGGCCTCCACGCTGGAACGTGAGCCCCACAAGGGCAGGGACACTGCTGGTTTTGTGCCTTGCTGTGCCCCAGTCCCTGGAACAGTGCCCAGCACACAGGAGGACCTCAATAAAAACTGGTTGAACAAATGACAGTGTGAGCTAGGTGACCCCCGTTACCATGAGGAAGACAATTCGCACCTGAGTATCCACACTTAATGGCTCGTGAAGTGCCTTCACACACCTCTGCTCCCCACAAGAGCCCACGAGGTCAGCACTGTTCTCCCCATTTCACAGACAGGGAAGCTGAGGCTCAAGAGAGGAAAAAGGCCCTGCCCAGCACCTCACGGCTGGGGAGTGGCCGAGCCAGGATGCTGATCCAGGCCCTTGATGCCTGCCCAATGGTCTTACCACAATCCAGGACATTCCACAGGGTTCTCCCAGTGTCACAACCCTTTTGGATCAAGGTCCCACCAGCACTCGGGAAACAGAAAGAAGCTGTGGGACAGGAACACTGTGATTTTTAAAGGAAAGACCAGTGGGAACATTTCCTTTGAACCAGCAGCAGGAGACCTCCTGGGGGAGAAGCGATCAGAAGGGGGTGGGGAGGGGCAGAGGAACGGCATCACTGGGAGTCAGGAGGCCCACCCCACTAAGCCCTAGTTGGACTGTCTCCCAGCCATGAGGCTCCTGGACAAGTCCCCTAGCTCTTCAGAGCCTCGGTCTCCTCATCTGTCAAACGAGACCCTCATCCCTGTCTCAAGAGGTTACTAAAAGGAACCAAATAAAAATGACTTTATAAAATGGTCCTGCACTCTACAGGGGAGATGGGTCAGGGAGAGGCAGAAAGATTGGGCAGTCTGCTGGCAAGGAGGCCGGTAACACCAAGGCTTATCAGAAGGGAATGGCTAGATTATGCTCAAAAAGCCCTCCTACCAGGAGAAACGACACTTTCGGCAAAAGCTCTCCATTAAAGGTGTGCCCTCACAGCCCGTTGGAGGAGCTGCCAATCACTAACCCACCCTCAGAACTGCAGCAGAGCCCTGGCAGACACGGGAGACTGAGACTTGGGGGCAGCTTTGTCCACGGCCACCCAGCTAGGAGGGGGCCAAGCAGGAGGGACTGCAACCCAACTGTCCTGGCTCTAAAGTCACACTCCTCCCAACCCCGCCCTTTCTTGAGCTTCATCAGACTTGGTGAGAGGGTCTCTAGGAGAAATCTCTCTTGGGTTCATCGCTGGGCTTGACAGGACAATACTGACACTGCCACCCCTCACATGCAGGGCATCTCTATGCCCATTTTCACCTTATCATGGCAATGGAAACCCCTACCTTCTGGGGAAATTGGGGCAGGTGTGGTTGGGGGTGGCTGACAGTGGCCAAGAGACCGAGGCCTGGGGTGGTTAGCAGAGTGGCTGACATCACCCAGCAGCAGGAAATGGACAGGGCCCTCGGCTGCCCTGGGACCTGGTACCTAGTACCTTTCCCCGGCTGCAGCTGTCCCTGCCAGACCCCTGTCCCCTGGGGCCCATGACCCTTGTTTGGAGTCAAGCCAGCGACAGTTCCCCACGAAACCTCAGAGCCTGCCGTCCCCCCGCAGCCCCGGGGCCGGCTGAGCCCCTTACTTCTCCTCGTATGCCATGACCAGGCGGGGGTCCAGGATGTGTTCCTCCGGCTCCCACGTGCTGTACCTAGGGAGACAAACAAGCAGTCAGAGCTGCCGCGCCTCCAACCCCGCCTCCCATTCACAGGCCACAGCTGCTGTGGGCAGGACTTGCCCCTTCCTGATCCAGCCCTGTAATTGTCACCTAATCCCATAAATTGTCCCTAGCCCACCAGACTAGGCTGGTGGCCTTCTGGGGCCTTCAACACCAGAACTCCCCTCATCCTGATCATGTCACCCTAAAAATGACTTCATCTAGCTCCCAACTAGATCCCCATGTTCACCTCAGGGTCACAAAGAGTTGGACACGACTGAGTGACTGAACTGAAAGAGGGAAGGCCCCATACATCCCTGGATTCCCTTCCCATGAGAGGCAAGAGCATGTGGTAAAGAACAGGGGCTGCGGAGCCAGACTGCCCATGTTCAAACCCCAGCTCTGCCCTGGCTGGCAGTACAACTGTGAACAAGCGGCTCAATGTCTCTGTGCTGATTTCCCAATCCATAAATGCTTTTGAACTGTGGTGTTGGAGAAGACTCTTGAGAGTCCCTTGGACTGCAAGGAGATCAAACCAGTCCATCCTAAAGGAAACTGGTCCCGAATATTCACTGGAAGGACTGATGCTGAAGCTGAAACTCCAATACTTTGGCCACCTGATGTGATGAACTGACTCATTTGAAAAGACCCTGATGCTGGGAAAGATTGAAGGCAGGAGGAGAAGGGGACGACAGAGGATAAGATGGTTGGATGGCATCACCGACTCCATGGACTTGAGTTTGAGTAAACTCCAGGAGTTGGTGATGGACAGGGAGGCCTGGCGTGCTGCAATCCACGGGGTCACAAAGAGTTGGACACAACTGAGCGACTGGACTGAACTGAAAGGTCTCTTGTGCTGACTAAATGCGCTCACATGTTTACGGCGGCCGGTGCACAGGAAGTGCTCTGTGCTTGTTACTGTTGCTGTCCCTAGCCCCCCGGTTGCCCTAGCCCCAGTGTGGGCTCTGCCTGGCCCAGCTGCTCCCCCCCCTCCTCAGCACACACCTGCATCATCAAGGCCAGCTCTGAAGGTCCCTTGTCACATAGCAGGAAATCTGGTAAATGCTCAGAGACTGTCTGGTGCAGTGATCCTACAGCAGACCCCAGGTCTTTCCACAAGGGACCTTCCACCACTCCCAGGCCAGACAGCATTCCAGACAGCTGAGACAGACCTGGATAATTCCAGAGCTCAGCTATCCTTCTTCCATCTGCATGATTATTTACTTAGCATCTGCCTTTAACTTAGCTTGCTATTTTATTTGAATAATTTTTTTTTTTTAAATATGGAACGCTTCACGAATTTGCGTATCATCCTTGCGCAGGGGCCATGCTAATCTTCTCTGTATCGTTCCAATTTTAGTATATGTGCTGCCGAAGCGAGCACTTGAATAATTTTAAAAGCAAACTTTATATAACTTCCAAAAGTCGGGGGGGGGGAAGGATGATTCATTATAAACAGATGCCAGTACATAAAAAAATGTAACTTGAAAACATTTATGTATGTATACAAATATGCACACAAATGTGTATGGGCATGTTAAAAAAAAAACAAAAACAAAACCCAAAGCAACAGGCTGTGATTCTGGCCAAGGCTGCCCTCAGGTTTGCTGGACAAGAAGGGAGGTGAGTAGGTATTAAGCAGGTATTAGAAGGCAGAGAGAAGCCGGGCCCTGCCCCTGCCATCTTCTAACCAGCTAAGCTAAAACCTTCATCTTCAACTGTCCTGGTTACTGTGAAACCTAATAGTAGTCCCGCCTATATCTGAATGATAAGCTGCTTGACAACAGGCCTTTCCTCCTTTCTTTCACTACTTCTGCACACTTTGTGTAAGGCCCCGTGAACTCAGCTGTGAAGGTCTACGCCCTGAGTGTGACATGCCCAGCACCGTCCCAGCTCCTGTTCTTTGCACTTGTTGTGCTCTTCTCCTGGGGGCCCTCTTCCTCCAGTGACCTCCTCATCCTTTAAGAGTCAGGGTCCTGCAGCCTTCCCTGACATCCTCTCCAAGCACAATGAACCCTCCCCTCAGCTGCTCTCCAGGGCCTTACTGCTGCCCTTGGCACCTGCCATACATATTGATGAATCAAGCTGGTGTCCTGGTTGGCAGGTTGTGACTTCTCCCCAGCTTGCTCAGCCCGGCCCCAGCCCCTTTGTGTTCTGGGAATGGCTGTAGAAGTCACTGCAGAGATCTGCTCATTCTGAAGAAATGCAAAAGTGAAACTGAGATTTTTAAAAATATATATAGTTTGGTAAAGCCCAAACTGAAAGCAATCAGCAGCTGGCAGAGACGTCAACCCTTCCTCCCCACAAAGGCTGAATTTCCTCAATTCTACCTAGTGAGAAGAGAGGGGGAACTCTGTGTTCCTCTGTGTCCTCTGCCTGCCCTCCACCCCCCATATCCTCGAGCTGTGGAAGTCTCTTCAGTGCTCTAGTCTCCTCTGCCCTGCCCACTTCCCCCCTGCCCTGCCCATTTTTTGGTGATGTAGCTGCTGTGTGGTTCCTGGCAAGTCCCTAACCTTCTCTGTACTTCAATTTCCTCATCTTAAGAATCACCATCACCACCGCCACCACGGTAATGGTTAGGTGCCAGAGCAGACAACCGCAGGGATTCATCCATCCCTTGTAACACCTTTATGAGGTAGGTTACAGACGCTACAGAGGAAACTGGGGCAGAGAGGTGAAGCATCTTGCCAAGGTCACTGAACCAGTAAGTAGCCAGTCTGTGGTTGGAACTCAGCTGAATCTTGGCCACCCTCTCCCTTTGGGTCCTCACATGGCGAAGTATCTGGCTACCCACCGGGCTGTGATGTGTTTGGGAGAGGGGCACGGTCTGATTGCTCACGTCTTCAGCGTCTGACCCGGGGCCTGGCACACAGCGGGTGCAGAGAAAGGGTGAGACTTGGCAGCAGGAGGCCTGGCCCCGCTGCGGAAAGGCGGGAGGGGGTCGCCGGACGGGCGCTTCACCCTCTCGGACACCTTCGCCCCTCCGAAAGAGGCGGCCATCAGCAGCCCTCCGTAGTGTGGGGAGCCAGAGGCCGTGGCGAGCCAGAGGCCGTGGCGAGCGTAGGTCACGCTTTGTGAACCACCCGGGTTTAGACAAGACAGGAGTGCGCGGCCGTTGGGGCTCGGTCTCCGCGCCGCCGGTTGGGCCGGAACGCAAGCAGGCCGACAGAGGGCTCCACTACGCCGCGCCGTGGGCCCCGCCCCCAGAGGCCGGGCAGCGGCGCGGGCACACGCACGCACGCGGGCGCGCGCTCGCCAGATTACCCGGCCGACCAATGAGGGGCAGGGCGGTGGGCGGGGACTGCGCGCGCCGGCTCCGAGGTAAACACGGCCACGTGACCGCCACCCCGCCCCCGAGCCGGGGTAAACAGGCTCGCGGCCGCCCCGCCTGGGCCCTGCCGCGCAGGCTCCCGCAGTGCCAGGGGATGGGCGCCCCATAGAGCCAGGCCACCCAGCAGCCCCCCCCACTCCGATTTCGAGCCACCGAAATGAGAAGCAGTGTGCCGGGCTCCCTGAGAGACTGGCGGGGGCGGCGGTGAGCAGGTGACTCACTTGTTGGGGCCTCCATTTCTTCATCTGTGAAGTAGAGCTACCAATAGTCCATGTCTTTTAGGGGTGATGTGACAATCAGATGTGTTAAGCCACATACAGCACTTGTGGTACATAATAAAATGTAGTACATAATAAAAGCAAACAAGCAGTAATTAAGTCAATATCAAAAGCCTCCAGAACACAAACACACACTTGCCAAGACCAAACTCAGGACTCTGCTGCTGCTACTCAGCAGGGCCTTGGAGGACAAAGAAGCGCCTCCTCTGTGTCTGGCACTGCTATGAACCCTTTCTTGTCTCAGGCTGCCTTCCATAGGGCTTCATGAGGCTAGAGTCCCACTTGACAGGTGAGGAAATGGTGGTGCCCAGAGTTCAAATCGTGCCACCTTTATGATCTGAGGGAAGGCCGCCTCTGCTTAGGGTTTGTCTCTTCATCTGTCCACTGGGTTGCCATTAGACAAATGAGTTAAGTGAGCCAATGCCTGATTTTAATAGAGGCTTATTGATATCAGCCTGGTTATTGCTGTACCCTGATACACGGATATCATTCCTAAAGCTCCATGGAGGCCGTCCTCCCCACAAATGGGGTAGCATTCACAAGTGGGTAAGAACAGAGGGAAAGAAAGTGTTCCCAAAGAGGGGCAGCAGGGTCCCCAGCAGGCTGAGATGAGAGTCGGTATCTGAGGGTCTCCGTGGGGCTGAGAGCATGCAGCTGATTATTAAGCTCCTCCACCCTGTGCCCCCAGCCCCTCCCTGTGCCATTTGCCCTTTCTTTCCAGAACAAGCAGGATAGCTCCTCTACCCCATCTGCTGGGGAGGAAGGGCAGTTATTCCTCCAAACAGGCAAAGCACCCTAAAGCTCAACAGGGGCCGGGCAGAGTGAGTGCTGGTTTACATCGTGGTTTCTGTATTAATAGAAAGCTCCCGCCCAGGATGGGGAGGGTGCTGGGAGCAGGAGAGTCTGACTCCCCCTCCCTCCCAGGCTGGCACTGTGATAGCCAAGGCTCCCAGGCCTGCAGGGAGCAGCTAGTCCAACTACTCCACTCCCCACCCTCTTTCTCAGCCTCTTCTTCAAGCAAGGCCCCCTGAGGAGGGGAGACTAAAGTGGGTGATAAAGAGGCCCTGGTTCTCCTCCTTCTTTCTGTGACTGAATCTGTTGTCCCCCAAGTGAAGTTGGGTGGCAGTGGTTGGCATAAAGTGGGTACCGTGCTGCACTGTGTTGGCATTTATATTACTGTAGTGACCGCTCCTCTCTGGGCCCTGGTTTCATTTGAAACATGAGAGGACTGATCTAAATGAGGGCTAAGGCTACTTTAGATGGGAGTAGAATCCCCCTAGACCCCTCTCCTGGCTGGTGAGAGACCTAGGAGCCCAGCTGTGTAACTTACTATTAATAGCAAACATTTACTAAGTGCCTTGTTTGGGTTAAGCATGCACTAAGTACTTCTGTATCTATCATCTAATCCTCACATCACTGCTGTGTTGGAGGATTCATTCCAATTTGGAGATGAGGAAGCAGAGATTCTGCTCTGCTGGGGACCTGTCCAAGGGATCCCAGCTCTTTAGCTGTGAACAAGGACAAAAGTGTGAGGAAGTCAGAGATGCCCCAGGTCTTCTGGCCACACAGACTCCCTGAACTCCCGTGGAGGGGGGGGGGGGGGGGGTCACAAAAAGTAGTCATGAAGGCCCATCTGGTGGTCTCAGAATGTTAGGGAACAAGTGGGCCCCAGGGGCATAGGCATAGGCCAGCAGAACTAAGCAGGGGCCGCTCTTAGAATGCCAGGTCCTTCCCGTGACCAAAACTCTGATGGGCAGACATACTCATTCAGGATAAATAAAAGTGGGGGAAAGAACTTGAAACAGACAAATACATCTGTTTAGAGAAGGGAGTCTACACAGCAGGAAAAATAGCCAATAATGCCTTGAAGGCCAACAGACTAGTGTCCACAGTCCAGTGCAATGGCTTCTGGTGCAGAAGCTAAAAGGGGAGTGAGTACCAGGGAGTATGCCCACTCTGAGCACCTTCCTTTTCTAGTTTTCCACCTCCTGTTACTGCCCCTTCACCCAGACTGGAAGCCCACCTCCCCTCTGCCTAATGGAGGAGGGGATTATCCTTCAGTCTCAGTGTGTTTGGGAAAGGGCAGCAGGGCAGCAAGAATGGATGAGTGTATTACCTGGTTGGCCAGCCACCAGCTCTAATCAATAGGATGCCTGCAGGCCACCTGGGACACACCCCAGACCTTTCACCCCACAAAGTGAAGAAGCCTGTGAGAGGAGAGCTGGGCCTGGATTACTGAACCCATTTTGTAGAGAGGGAAGCTGAGGCAGCATGGCTGTTTTCCCCTCTGCTGTGTCTCTCACCACTGTGTGTCCAGGACACTCCCAGGACCCAAACATCAGGTCACCCCCAACAGCAACACAGCAGAAAGGCACAGACTGTCCTGGCACAGACAAGAGGAACTCTGGAACCGGGGGGGGGGGGGGAATTCCAGGAGTCTATCTCTAGGAAGCCAGGCAGGGAGGTGGGGGGCCCACAGACCAATGGGGAGGCCCCACGACCTGCTCATTCCCTCCCCTCCCCCAACAACTCCTGCTGGGAGGTGATTGGTTGGTGAGAAGGTTCCTGATTCGGCCTCAGCAGGAGAGGAGGGGCAACTGGGAGAGGTCCTAGACCCAAGTTGGCCACCTCCCAACTGGGAGATGGAGGAGGCGCAGGAGGGGCTCAGTTCAAGCCCCAACTCTGCCTCCCCTTGCAGTGTGACCTAAGGCAAGCTGCTTACCTTCTCTGAACCTGTTTCCTCATCTTTAGAGATGAGGACCACAGCTGTCTCACAAGTCTGTAGGGGAAGAACCTGCTCTGTAGACTGGAGAGTGCTATCCAAAGGTGGCTCTGTTCCCAGCTCTATGGCACTGAAGACTCATGCCCCACTGGCTAAACTTGTCTTGCTCAATACCACAAACTCCCACCTAGCACTGGTACATGCTGCAGCATGAGGGCCCCTCCACCTTGCAGGTGGCCATTTCTGAAGCCAAGATGCTGGGTCTTCACCCGCTGAATGCCAGGAGAGGCCAGAAGCAGGGGAGCAGAGGCTCCAAGCAGAAGATGGAGCACAACTATGAAGAGAAGCTGGCGCCCACCTTGGCCCTCATATACTCCAAATCCCTCAGTTGGAAGAGGGGAAACTGAGGCCTAGCCAAGATGACGATTAAATCAAGGTAAGCTAGCCAATTACTAGAGCAGCTGGAGTGAAAAGCAAGGCAGGAGAGAGGGGGGAAAAGGCAGATGGAAGGATGTACAGGTAGGCAGACAGACACAAGGGAGCCTTACTTTGGGGGCCATCCTTTCCACTTCACCAAGTATTCAACTTTACCCTGGGGAGAGAGAGAGAAGGAGACACAGTGAGATACACAGATGCCCCTAGGACCACTTGCAGGGCTGAAGGCCCAATCCCCTCTGCAGACAGAAGTCCCCCAAAACATATACACAATATACACATATATATCCCCATAAATATATATATATATATATATATACACACACACACACACATATATATATATATATACACACACACACATATACACACATATATCCCCATCAACCAGAGATCCTCAAACTCTGGTCGCTCCATGTCCATCCCAGACCATCCTCCCTGCTAGAGCACAGGAGTGCACTGGGCCTACACACCTCAGGCGAACCTGTGGTAAAAGCTTGGAGCCCACGTCATGTGTCAGGGGCACCTGTGGTAAAACCTTGGAGCCCACGTCACGTGTCAGGGGCACCTGTGCTAGAAGCTTGGAGCCCACGTCACGTGTCAGGGGCACCTGTCCTAGAAGCTTGGAGCCACGTCACGTGTCAGGGGCACCTGTGGTAGAAGCTTGGCGCCCATGTCACGAGTGGGGAACATGCATGGCCAAAGATCTAGCGTCCAGTGTGCCAGTGCAAAGACGATAATTCTCTTTCTTTTTTTAAATTAGAAGAGTCTCGAAGTCCTAGAAAACTCCTCATTGGGGAGTCCCCCAGGCCTCTAGCCCCATCAGCCCCGTCCCTGTGAGACAGGGGGGACAGGCTAGTGACTCCAAGACTCTCAACTTACTCTCAAGTCAAAAGACCCTGGCAGGGCCCCAGAGAAGGCGGACAGTCCCCACCGTGAGAAAGGGTGCTCATCCTTCCCTCCAGGAGTGAGAAAATAAGAGCCAGGTTCCTCCCTTCCACACAGGTAATAGGGGCCTTTAAAAGTTCCCAGTCCAACCCCATCTGACAGGTGATACCCCTCCACACTAGAACTTTAAGACCAAGATAATGTCATCTCCTCAAAGCGGCCTGCCCTGGCCACCCTCCCTCCCACCTTACAGTTCTCTCTCTGTGTGGCACACAGCCCCAGTGGAAAGCATCTGTTTACTTCCTCTTTTGCTGCCTGTCTCCTCTACCAGTATGCCAGCTCCACAAAGGCTGGAGCTCCCTCCCTTGGCACTTAGACTGGTGCCTGGTATATAAGAGGTCCTCAAAATTTTGAATGAATGTGAAAGGAACAGTGCTCCTCACTCTCTGGCACTACTTTTTCAGGCCCCATGTAGAAAGGGGTAATTAATGTATGTGCTTAGGCTACACTGCATGGAAAGCATTGGGTTTTGAGGAACAGATTCAAATTGAGGAAACCCTGAGGGAAGGGAGGAGAAGGGGCAGCCCTGACCTGAAGACAAAACTCAACCCCATTGGAGTTGGGGGAAGAAAAGAAAAGGTCATGGCCTACCTTGACCCCATCACCCTTAGCCCAAGATACCAGGGCTAAGTTTTCTCTCTTGAAAGATGAGTTGGCAATTAGCCAACTTGAGCTCCTGCTCTGCACTCATCTCTAACTTACTGTGTGACTTTGATCAGGTCACTTCCCCAGCCCGGGCCTCAGTTTGTGCCTCCATCAAATGGGAGGAGGTGAACTACCAGCCCTGCCGCTAGGGCCTCCCAAGGAGCGGCAGGGAGGAGATAAAAGGACAGTGGTTTTAAGTGTTGGGACAGGAAATTTCCCCAAAGCTTTCCAGTCCCAACTTCCAGCCTGGGGCCAGACTACTTTGCAAACGTGTGCACCGGAAATGGGCACGGCCAAAGTCCAGGCCCGAGGAGCGGGGACCGAACCCAGAAGAACAGATGCCTCCTTAAATCGCTGGGTGTATGTTTTGGAGGCGAAGGCAAAGGGGGAGGAGCTTTGAGGATGCCGAAGCGCCGTAGGCGGCTTCACTGAGCCGCCGGGCGGGGCTGGGAGTCGGGGAGGGGAAGACTGAGGGGGTGTGCACTGGAAGAGGGGGAGAGACGCGGAGGTGGGGGTGTGGAGGGGATCGGAAAAGGTCGAAGTCCAGCAGTTAAACTTAAGAGTCAGGAGGAGGCTTTTCCAAAGCTCCGCTCCAACTTCAAAGGACTTGGCACCAAAGTACAGAGTCCTGAGTTCGAGACCCAGCTCCGATGCGAACACACGAGGCAAGCCGTTTCTTCAACTTGGGCCTCAGTCTCCCCATATTTAATGAGAGGAGGATGAGAAAGGATGGCGTTCGGGGTTCCTCCAGTCCGATCCTAATCTCCGGCTGGCTTAGCTGCCCCCAGCATCCTGGGGCGACAACTTTTAATTCTCCTCTCCCTACAAGGTGGCGGGGGAAACTGAGGCACGGGCTGGGGATACGGGCCCGGCAGCGCGGGGCTGCCTGGGTCCCCCCGCCCCCACTTTCTCCCTCGCCTCCAGGGTAGAGGGGACAGTACTGGGGACAGAAGGGGACCCCACAGGGGTCCTGGGAGCCGCCCCCCGGGCAGCCTCACCTTCCGCACGCGCTTCTTCCGGATGCTCTCTACGGCGAACACCTGCTCGCCGATGGCTGACAGCTCCATGCGGGGCGGCGGGCGAGCGGGCCCGGGGCCGGGCCGAGAGGCGGAGCGGGGGCTCGGCTCTCGTCTAGCCGGCCACGCCCCTCCTTGGCTCCGCCCCCGATCGGGCCCGCCCCCTCTGGAGGTCCGTCCCCGGGCCTCGCGCTTGGTGTCTCTCTCCGAAGCCGGCGGCCCGCGGGACTTATTTGGCGCGGGTTCCGCTAGGAGAGGGTGTTGGACGAAATATTAATACCCAGGAGTGTTTTCTAAAGTCCTCCCGGTGACTCTGAGGGTCTGAAAACGGCCTAGCCCGGGTTGGGCTTATGAGGACCCGGGGGAGAGCCGTGAGACCATTTGCCTCGCCTCTCACAAAGAATAGACGCGGTCGCTCCGCGGACCCTCCGCGGACCCTCGGGCGTCACGAGGGCGGGGACCGCCAAGGTTTCTCAACCTGTCAGGGCGTCTCAGTACCACGGTCTCTCTGGATCCGGGCTCGGGAGCTGCGTGGTTTGCCAGTTCTGAGCAGGCGCCTCTGCGTCCAACCTTAACGTCCATCTGTCCGTCCGGGCGGTTGTGCTGAGACGCCCGGTCCCCACGCGGCCGCTGCCTCAAGGCCCCCCGCCAGGCAATACTTGGCGGCAGGTATGGCCGCAGCGAATCTAAGGTGCGCAGCGGGACGGATTTTGACGCCACGCAGCCCCAAGTCCCCTGTCACGTTCACTTGACACTTTGCACGTAGTAGGTGTTCGACTCTGTGGAATGAATGGATCTTGAGGTCTCAGACAAATCTATTCAATATCCCCATCCACTCCAACACCGTTCTGTCTGCCCTACGGCGCCAGCTTTCGTCCTCGCTAGGAACCCGAGTCATCCGTGCCCCTTGGGCTCCCAACCGCCTGCCTGCATTGACCCCCCAAGTCCTGCTTCTCTGACCCCCTCCCCTCCACACCCCTTGTCCTTTCTCTGGACTGCAGCAACCGCCTTCTCACTTCTCAATGCCGTCCGAGCCCGAGGCCACGGTGCCAGAGTGCGCTTTCTAGAATGCAGATCTGACTGGATCACCCTAGTGCTTTAAAACCTTCCCTACCTCCCTGTGCCCTTCAGAATAAAGTCCAGGCGTCCGGGGTAGGAAAAGAGAAAAGAAAAAGAAATGATTTGCACGGACTTTTTATGAGGAGCAACGGGAGAGGCGAGGATCCCGAAGGCAGTAGAATGATAATCCAAAGCACTGAAAGAAAAATAACCGTCATCCTAGAAACAGTGAAATTTTATTTCAAGATTTATGTACCCAGTGAAAATGTCTTTCCAGAACAAGGAGAAATAATAACATACACAAATACAAAAACTAAGACTTTGCCAGTAGCAGACCCTCCCTAAGGGAAATTCCAACGGAAGAACTTCAGGCTGGAGGAAGATGATCACAGACAGAGGTCTGATGCAACAGAGAATAAAGAACAATGAAGAACATTGATAATACAATAACAATGTCTTCTGGATAAAAATAGAACTAAAATACACAACAATGGCATAGAACTTGGGTGAATGGATTAAAGTGTTCCAAGATCTTTCTATTCCTCAGGAGGAAAACGAAAATAGATAGCAAATATACTTAAATTCTGATGAGTTAAGACTGTAAGTTGTCATTAACAGGGTAAACAGAAAGAATGGAAATGCAGTATATAGTATTTAGCCAAATTATTAGAGGGGGAAAACAGAATGAGAAAGTCAATCAATCCTAAAACAAGCAAGAATGAAAAGAAAAATACAAAATAGGTGGGACAAATAAATAACAGTTATAAATTCAAATGTACTATAAAACAATCCAAGTGGACTAAATGTTGTAGTTAAAATATGAAGATTACCAGGCAGGATAAAAATCCAGCTACCTGTAATTTACAAAAGACATCCACAAGAAACATTTCCAAAACATAAGGACACTGAAAAAATCACTAAAGATAAAGAAGGTCACTTCATAATGAAAATGGTCTAACTGACCAGAAAGAAAGAACAATTTCAAATTCATATGTAAATACCATAGTCTTAAAATATAAAAAAACGAAGAAGAGAACTATACAGAGAAATAGACAAACCCACAATTACAATGGGAGATTTAAAAACACATCCGTCTGTAATCAACAAAACAAGCAGAAATATATTTAATGAAGATAATATTAAGAAACTTGACTAGGGGACTTTTACAGAACAGTGTAGCTACAACTGCAGAATACTCTCCTTCAAGTCATAGGAAATATTCACAAAAGCAGCAAAGTTAAGGGCAGAAAGTAATCAGCAAAAGCAAAAGTTATTACTATGAAAACACTAGTTGTATTGACTTTTCCCATGGACAGAGGAGCCTCGCGGGCTGCAGTCCATAGGGTCGCTAAGAGCAGGACACAGCTGAGATAGCAGGCAGGCATACCTCAATTTGAAAATCCTGGGGAAAATGCTACCACTCATTAGCAACAAACGCTGCAAAGCAAAAGAAAAAAAATCAGTTAACATAATTCACCATTAGTTAACAAAGAAAGACATATTGTTATCACGAAAGATACAGGGAACGTTCAAGATCTGTTTATGCTTTAAATCCTGTAGCAAATTAGGAATACAAGCAAATGACTTTATCCTGGTAAAAGTATCTACAAAAATCCTACAGCAAATATCCTAATTATTCTAATTAATAGTGAAATGTTGAAATTAGTAAAAAGGCAAGGATGATTGCAATCCTCATTTCCATTAAACATGGCACAGAATAGTCTAGACCTGTGTTATCCAACGTGGTAGGCACTAGCCCCCTATGACTACTGAGATCTTGAAATGTGACTGGTCTGAATTGATGTGTAAGGATAAAATTAAATACATGTTGAATTTTAAATAGTACCAAAAAAAACCCACACCATAAAATGTCTCATTAATAATTGTATATTGATTACACATAGAATATTTTAATACATTGGGTTACATGAACTGTTTTACAAAAATTCATTTCATCTGCTTGTTAACATTTTTAGCATGGCTATTAATTCAATTTTAAAATATACCTGCGGTCTGCATTTATGACTTAGATTTCTTCTGAACAGTGTTGACTAGACAGTAAGATAATAAAATGAAACCAAGGGAAAAGGATTAGAAATAAACAAAACTGTCACTATTTTCTGGTTTTGTGTAGAAAATAAAAAAGTTTCTCCAAAATATTAGAATTGAAAAGTTAGCAAAATTGTTGGATTAAAAAAGTCAGTATACAAAAATCTGTTGTGTTTTGTATTCTTCTATGCAGCAGTAAATAATTAGAAAATATTACTTTTAGTATAACAAAAATAAGTAAAGGACCTAGGAATAAATCTACTGATTTATACATCTAGGTCCTTATGGAATAAAATCATAAAATTTCATTGTGAGACATTAAAGACTATCTAAAAATGGAGAGTTAAACCATGCTTGGATTGAAAGACCAAGTGCTGGAACCATGACGATTCTCCCTAAATCGGTCTAAGTCAAGAGTCAAGGCAAGCCTAATCAAACTTACTGCAGGAATTTTTTGGGAACTGGATAAACTGAATGTAAAATTTTTATGGAAGTGCAAAGGGCTAGGACAAGTCAAGGTGCCCTTGAAGGAGCTGAAGAGAGAGAGGCTGGTGGTGATGAGATCACCCCCAGCAGATACCAAGACATTATAAAGCTAAAGCAAATAAGACAGTGAACTATTGACACAAGAACAGATAAATAGGACAGTGAAACCAAAAAGAAAGCCCAGAGGACTATAACCACAGACAGATCAATCTATCTGGAAAGAAGGAGCAAGAGGCTGAAACTGCTGGTCAGTGGGTATGAACTTTTCAGTAAAGGGTAACTGGAATTATCAATTCTCCATATTGGGGGGGAGGTGAAATTAAACCTCTCCCTTTCCCCAAATTAACTCCAAGCCTCAATGTGAAAGGCAAAACTCCGAAATTTTTATTTTATTTTTTTTGTTCTACCAGTTTATTGCTACCAACCCATCTCCCTCCACCCTCGTGCACACATGCTCAGTCATGTAATCCCATGGACTTCAGCCCGCCAGACTTCTCTGTCCATGGATTTTTCCAGGCAAGAATACTGGAGTGGGTTGCCATTTCCTTCTCCAAAAACTTTGAAATTTTTAGAAAATAATATTTTAAAATATATTTATTAATATGAGATCAAGGCTAATTTCTTACATGAGAAATAGTGTAAGTCACATCAGAAACAGCTGATGACTTCAGTTACATTCAAATTATGAACTTTCTTTTTCAAAAGACTGTATGTAGAGAGTGAAAAGAGAAGACAGCATTTAAAACACCATAAATGGACAAAGGAGAATATGTAAGGAATTTCTGTGAACCTGTAGGAGGATAGACAACAAATTAGAACAGAAATCCAGGAGCGGGGAAGGTGGGCAAAGGCTGGAACAGGCACTTGTAAAGAGGCAACACAAGTGATCAGTCAAATGAAAAGGCATTCACCCTCACAACTGATGCAAATACAAAGCCGCAATGAGATATAGCTTCACTCCGACTTGCTAAGCAAGGATTGTAAAGGCTGATAACGGCAAGTCCCGACAAGAACTCTCAGATACTTTATGGTGAGAAGAGTAGTGGACTCAACCACTTTGGAAATCAGTTTAGCGCGACTGGGTAAATGGAAACCTGCACATCTCCTGGGAGCCAGCAGTTTGTCTCCCAGGGACACAAGTGAGGACGATTTGTGCACAAGCGCAACAGAAAATCCATTTAAAAATGTTCACGGTAAGGACATTTGCAAAAACTTGAACCTGGAAACAGCCCCAACATCCACTAGGCTGAGCAAGTCCGGAATAGTCACACACTGGATTATTACCCAGCATTGAAATTGAGTAAACTACATACAGTGATACACATCAGGGTGAATCAGTCTTTCAAAATAATGTTAAGCAGAAGAAGTAAGAATATAAACTATACAGTGCCACTCACATAGAGTTCAAAACCAGGCAAAGCTAAATACTACTTTGTACATGGATGCAGGTGTGGATGGTAAAAACTAATGAGGGAAC